CCTTTAATGCTATCTGGAGCTTGAAAAGAGTATAAATTTAATATTAATTAAAATGCCAAATCTGAAACCATCTCAAGAAACTGTTCATACTTTGTTACATGAAAATCATTTGGCTTCGTGTACTCTTTGAATGTTGTTTACCCATGAATAACGTTGTGACAGTATGCTTTAGTTGCCTGGGAGATACTGGTTCATTGAGTTATGCTTGATCTTCTAAATTCTGTCACATTTTAATGTGTAATATCAAAAGCTCTCACTTTGTTTCCATTGTTAATATCACCAGAATGCATTTTTTAATTAGTGGAAGTCTTCTGGGACAACAGTGTTTTCAAGTTTTTCATGGGTTCACAATTTCAGGTTTAATCAAAGAATATATAAAATGGAAGAAAGCAACTAACAGGTCTTTCTCTGATTTGTGTTTTTTCTATAGTGATTTGTGTCTTTTCTATAGTTACAGTTTGTTTATATGTCTACATTTTGAAAAATGCATGGAAAGGCATATATTCTTTATCTGGTAATTCTTTTTTTTAAAAAAAAGTTTATTATTTCTTTTTTAAGATTTATTTATTTATTTTTATTATGTATACAACACTCTGCCTCCATGTATGCCTGCATGCCAGAAAAGGGCACCAGATCTCATTTCAGATGGTTGTGAGCCACCATGTGGTTGCTGGGAATTGAACTCAGGACGTCTGGAAGAGCAGCCTGTGCTCTTAACCACTGAGCCATCTCTCCAGCCCCTATCCAGTAATTCTTTATATCTGTAATTCCTACGTGGATGAAAGCTTCATGAGGAATAACCAAATGCTCAATAGGAGACACATAGTTAGAATGATTTTACTTCTATGCACAAAAGGCAGTAACATGGTTTCTTTGGGAGGCAGTTGGGTGTCAATGCACCAGAAGTTTATGATGAGCTTGGGATTATTTTACTTATATACGACAGTGTAACAAATCACCTCAAAGCCTAGTTGTTTAAAACAAAGCAATCCTTTATCGTGTTGGGTGAATTCTCTAGATCAGACATTTGTGTTGTTGAGGTGGGCAAGTCTGATTAAGAGGCGGCATGAGGTTGCAGTCAGAGCCTAGCGGTTGGACAAAGGTCACAGTTTCTTATGATGTGGGCACAATCATGTTCCTTGAGTATCTTACTTAATACCTAGTGGCTGGCTTCCTTGGGAATACCAGAGGAGGCAAAGTGGAAGCTATGGTGGTGTGGGAGAATTGTCTGTATTCTGTCAATCATATTTTAATAAAACGCTGATTGGCCAGGCAGGCAGTATAGGCAGGAAAGCCAGACAGGAAGTAGAGGTGGAGCAAAGAGACTGGGAGTATTCTGGGAAGCAGGAAGCTCCCTCTGCAGTTCTGCCCAGACCACCGGAGAGGAAAGATGTAAGCTGCCCCGCTGAAAAAGGTACTGAGCCATGTGCTAATGTAGATAAGGATAATGGGGTAACATAAGTTATAAGAGCTAATAAGTAGCCTGACCTAATGGGCCAATCAGATTTATAACTTATAGAGATCTCTGTGTGATTGATTTTCTCTGGGACTTGCTGGCTGTGGGGTACTGGGCGAAAACAGATACCCCAACAAGCTGGCCCTCATGTTACACTATGATGTGGTAGTCTCAGAAGTCACATGGCCTGTCTGTGTAAAGTCCTACTGGTTTTCATGTCAGATCTGTTTTTAGGAAGCGGTTTGACAAGCATGAGAGTTCAAGGAGCAGAGAATCTCTCAGAGCCTTGTTGGAAGTTTCTGTTTGAACTATGAGACAATGAGCAACAATATAGCTGTAATACTGAAACCATGAAGAAAAGACACAAGTGTTGTAGAATAGAATATTTGTTTGACTATGCAAAGATGTGTTGCATTTGTTTAACTATGTAAAGACATGTTGCTATTTTTACCTTGCCTGCCTAAGGCAGCTGATTGATCTAATAAAAAGCTGAATTGCCAATAGCTAGGCAGAGGAGGGATAGGTGGGGCTGGAGGACAGAGAGAAAAGGGAGGTCAGCTAGTGGGGCAACCGCTGGTGGCCAGCTAGCCAGACATGGAGGAAGCAGGAAAGCAGGACGTGCAGTTAGTAGATGAGGTAAATGAGCCTTGGGATATCACGTAGATGAATAGAAATGGGCTAATTTAAGTTTTGTAAAAAGAACTAGCCAGAAACAAGCTAGTAAAAGTATATAAGATAATTAATAATAAGTCCCTGTGTTATAATTTGGGTGCTGGCAAGAAAGCCTGCTACATACAGCAAATTACAGCTGCAAAAGCATTTGTGGCTGTGTAGGGGAGGAAAACTAAAGACTTGCTTTATTCACAAGCAATGCATGTCCTATGATTTGTATCTGATGTGTTCTTGTTTGGTATCTATTGCTATGATAAATGTCATGACCAAAAGAAACCTTAGGAAAAAAGGTTTATTTCTTGCATTTCCAGATAATAGTCATTCACTTAGGAAAATGAACTCTAGACAGTAACAGGAGTCAGGGACTGAAACAGAAGCCACTGAGGAGGCCTTCTTGTTGCTGTACTCCCCTGACATGCTCAGCCTGCTTATGTGTGTGTATGTACATTTATATGTATACACACACACACACACACACACACACACACACACACACACACACACACATATATCCCTGAACCACCAGTCCAAAATGGACTGGATCCTCCCACATAAAATTATTAATCAGGAAAGAGTCCCACAGGCCAATCTAGTGGGAATATTTTCTCAATTGAGGTTCATTCTTTCCAAACAACTCTAGCTTGCATCAAGTTGACAAAAGACTAACCAGGATAGCGTGTCTTTGGGTATGCATGCAAATGTATGGGAAGACACAGAAAAACAAACATAAGATTGCTTAGAAGTCAGATATCTCATAATAAATAAGCATTTATATACAGTTTACATATGTTTTAAACTATTTATTTGTCTTTATTTTATATGTATGAGTGTTTTACTTGCAGACGTGTAGTGTATGTGTGCCACAGGTATGCCTGGGGCCGTAGAAGGTCAGAAGAGGGTATCAGATCCCCTAGAACTCGAACAAAGGAGGGTTGTAAATACCATATGGGTACATGCCTAAATAAAGAAATTTTGCAGAAATGCAACCTGGCCAGTCTGTACAATGTTACTTGTGTGTATGTTTTCAGGGCTGATCATCAGCTTTGGATAACTAATTGGCGTGCTCTTCCCTCTAGAAGGTTATTTCACCAGCTGTCAGCCTTTCTTAGTTGCTCATAGTTCTCAGTGTAGATCTGTGGACTTTCCACATTAGCATGCCTATTGCTGCTGTCTTTGTTCCGCTCATGTTTAGGTAGTCATGTTGGTGAAACTTTGTGTATGTAGTTTCTGACTTTCCTAGATGACAAAACCTTACCGCAAACCTCACAGCAAAAACATATCGGGCTCTTACAATCTTCCCAGCCCTCTTCCGCAACGGTCCCTGAGCCTTAGGTGTGGGAGTTGTATTGAAGATATATCTGTTGAAACTAAGCTCCACAGCTCTGCATTTTGAAAGGTTGTGGTTTTCTGTAATGGTCTCCATCTGTTGTAAAGAGAATTTTCCTCGATGCGGTGTGAGGACTACACTTATCTGTGGGTGTAAGGACAAATATTTAGAATGCAGTTTAGGGGTTATGGTGATTTAATACAGTGGTGGTTGTAGGTTCATTTCCAAGATCACTGACTTCACTAACCCTGGGTAGTTGGCTAGGTTTCCAGTACCAAGCATAATTTCCCTCACATTGAGTGGGTCTTAACTTCGATGAGAAAGCTGTTAGTCACTGCCAGGGTATGTGTGTCACTACTGCTCCTTTGTGGTTATTGTGCCATGCTGGTCATTGCTGTGGAACCATATCTGGGTAGGACTCTTGTTTGCTTCCCTGTTTTGGAAGCTTGCATAGTACCTTTTGGTACCTTGAAAACTGGTCCCCAGGGAAGAAACATTAAAGTCAGTTTCAGCTCAAGGGCCTCTGGGCCCTGTGTCTGAAGCGCATATGGACTTCACTTCTACTTCTAGAGGCCAGTCGAGGGTTTCAGGCTAATAATATCATCGGTTAGTGACTAGTACACTTCTTTGTCACTGTTAGACATCCTTACTGCTATTTTGCTGTCCTTTCCTTCTGCATTTATCCCCTCCCCATTCTAACTAGAGCCCCATTTCTCTCCATTTACCTGACCAAATCATTTGCCCTCTGCTGCTTCCTTCTCCATTGCTTTCCCATCCCCCACCCCCTGCCCTGGCAAAAGTTCTGTTTGACGTTCTGGGTTTTTGCGGTACTCCAGGACCATTCCTTAACACGTACCCAAAGGACTCAGAACCCTACTTCACAGATACTTACTCAGCCGCATTCATTGCTTCCCTGTTCACAACATCTAAGAAATGGAAACAACTTCAGCTGAAAATGGGTAATGAAAACGTGACGCGTATGCCGTACGGAATACTATTCAACTGTAAGGAAAAATTAAATCACGAACTGTGCACGCATGTGGATAGAACTAGAAAAGATCATCTTGAGTGATGTAAAGAAAGGCAGATATTGCATGTTCTGTCTCATCTGAGGCTCCCAGCTTCTGATCTTCAGATGAGAGTTTATATCCACCACGATTTTTTTGGTATCTTGAGTCGTTGGTTACTGCTGTTTGTCGATTACATTACCATTGTCTTTTATTATACTTTACGTGGTCTAGGCTTTTAACTGTTTACCTTTTAACTGAATGTCATTTATTCTATTCCAACATTTATGCTTTTTTAATGTAATAAATCCTTGACAAGAAAACGAATGCTATTTTCATACAACTGGTGATGGTCTCCTGTAGTCTGACCGTTACTGACGTCAGTGAGTAGGTGGGTTAATGTGCCTATCCTCTATGGAGAGGTGAACTGGCAGGCAACTGAGGCACACAGAAGATGCCCCACCAGTTTTCAGACTCGGAAACCGAGTTCATAGTCAAGTCATAGTAGATAGACTATCACCACCAGGTGGCGCCCAGTCTCACCAGGGACTAGGGGAATTTAGTTGTTTTTTTTTTTTAAAGGGTTGACACAGTAATTGGTACCATTTCACATTTTGACACCCGAAGACTCTTAGATGTCAAACACAGCTTATCTCCTTTTATTTCTTTGTTATAAGACTATTTTAAAAACACACTCTTCTAGCTATTTTAAAGTATAAAGTAAGTCACTGTTAATGCCACCTTACTGTGCAAAAGAGCGTTGAAGTCACTACCCTCACCTGACTGTTATTTTGTCTATCATTCTTTTTCCATCTCTTTCTGGTCTGACAGGTGACAGGTTTTTTTTTCCCTACTTCTATGAAAACAACTTATTTAGATTCTACGTGCACGAGATCAACTTGACCTGTCTTTCTGTACTTGACTTACTTTGTTGAAGTTGGTTCTGTCCTTCTACCACATGGGTACTAGAGATCCAGCTCAGGTCCTCAGGCGTGGTTGCAAGGGGCATCTTGTATGCTCCACCTCATTTACATTTTAAAAGCTCTATCTTTTTTTTTTTGTTTTTTTTTTTTTGTTTTTGTTTTTGTTTTTGTTTTTTCTCTGTAACTTTGGAGCCTGTCCTGGAACTAGCTCTTGTAGACCAGGCTGGCCTCGAACTCACAGAGATCCACTTGCCTCTACCTCCCGAGTGCTGGGATTAAAGGCATGCACCACCACCGCCTGGCAAAAGCTCTATCATTTTATTGTTTGAATCTGATACCTTTTATCGCCTTGAAGCAATCATATTTACTTTGAAGTATATTTCCAACTATTCTTGCTATTATTATTTCTAGTCATCAGAATAATTATTTACCTATGTAGGTGTTGGCTAATGCTCTGAGATCTTGACATTTTCTTCTTTAGTGATTTTCATTATAACCTTGGTTTTACCATGCACCCTGAATTGTAATTTCTTGCATTGTTGTGTGTCTATTTCTCTCCAGATTGCTATGGTTTCCACTGGTCATGGACCAGTGATTCTGCTAATTTCTTGCTTCTGATTCTTGCCAAATGCAGATCAGCTGAGTTCATACTCCAGACCCGGGCGTCACTAGGAGTTTTCATAAGGTAAATATGTTTTTCCAGCCAGAACCCAGAAAAGGCAACTTAATTCTTGCTGCTTTTCTGAGCAGTAAACAAAGTTCTTATTTCCTCTTTGAGTCCTAGAAGGAGTTTTGAGAGTATCAGTTTTAAATAGAGACCTCAGCTCCTGCCTGTTCACCCTGGAGACTAAATTTACTGTGGAGCCCACATCTGGGCCACATTCTTCCCTGGTCCCTGGCGTGTCACTTAGAGCTCATCTTGCTGATTTGGAACTTCCTTTTTTATTTTTTTTTGTTTCTGTTATCTGTGAGGTATCTCAGCCCTTTTTCAGACTAGGTATTTTAAAGCTGTTAAACATGTATCCCATGTTTGTAAATGCTTAGAAGGGGGCTTTAAGTGAGGCATTGGCAGCCTTTTTGCACCATGTCCTGGTCATCATACAGCTCTCACTTAACTGAATCTGACCACATTCTTTCTCTCCACTGACCTCAGAGCTCAGGGAAGCTGGTCAAGCCAGATGCATTAAGCTGCATACCCCAGATTCCTTTTCTGTTTTATTTCTATCGTTTCTCATAAATAACTGTAGACAGCTAGGGCTGGAAGAGTCCTACCATCCTCTTATCTGATACTTCATAGATCAGAGGAGGAACCAGGGCCCCAGCTAGGACTCTGGATCTGGGACCCTCTATCTAGAATACTCCCAGATCCATTATCCTGAGCTCAGTGTAGAAAAAGAAGCCCTGGCTATAAACATACCAACTGTTTCACATCAGGAAAACATTCACTGCTTTAGAGAACTAGTGTGCCACCTGGAAGACAGAGACTTAGACTACATGCCCCTCTGCCTTAGTATGTCCCCGGCACATCGTAGGCATTTAACTAATTGTTTTCTTCCTTTTTTGTAATTAAAGTCCCTTGTTTCACCTTGAAAACTCTTTTTTATAGTTCTTCATGCTTATAAAGTTTTCCTACCGAAAGATCACAGAATACCTGATGATATATCAAATTAAAATTGATATGTAAAAAAATGGAGAAGGTGGATTATTTTTCATTTCTTTTTTTTTTTTTTTTGAACTCTGTATTGAACAATTGTTCCACAGGCTAAAACAATACTGTCTTAGAGAACTATCCAAAGACCATCCAATTGCAAGTGAGGTTGTTGTGGTCTTGAAATACTTTACATCAGTGCTCTCAATTTCATTGGCCAATAGCTGTCTTCTCATCTAACCCACAGGCGAGTTCTAGACAAGTGACAAATGACAAATGTATTTTTTAAAGGGTCAGAGAGCACATATTTTGGACCTTGAAGGCTCTAATCTTTGTTTTCTTTACAACTCTTTCAAAAGACGAGACTTTTAGTTCATAGATCTTTTTTTTTTTTTTAAAGGCAATAGGCTGGATTTGGCTAATTGATGTGGGAGGCCTTTTGTTTATGTGTTTATTGACTAGTGAATAAAACTGTTTTGACCTATGGCTTAGCAGAGTAAAGCCAGGTGGGAAATCTAAACAGAGATCGATGAGGGGAGGGAGAATCAAGGAGATACCATGTAGCTGCCAAAGGAGAAGGACATGTTGGAATCTTAGGAACCTTACTGGTAGGCCACAGCCTTGTGATGATACTCAGATTGATAGAAATGTGTAAATTTAAGATATAAGAGCTAGTTAGGAATATGCTAGAGTCATTGGCCAAAAAGTATTGTAATTAATATAGTTTCTGTGTGAATATTCAGGTCTGGGTGGTCGGGAAATGAATGAACAGTCTCTTTCTACAAATGGCACCCAACATGGGGCAACTACATTCACATAAAAACTGAGAGAACTTGGGAAGGAATTCTAGGCACAAAAGAACAGAGTTAAGCACAGCTTCTTGGTAGCAGCATTTTTTTTTTCCAGATAGACCCTGTTTGCTGGCAGCAAGCAGAGGCATGGCTTCTGCAAGAGATGTCTTCCTGACTCAGTGCTAGCATCAAAAAATCCACAGCTTATTTGAGATCCAGCTTCCTGGTTCTTGCTGGTAGTAAGAACTGGTCTGACTCTTTCAAGAAGTCCTGTACTTAAATGGGATTTGTGAGCAGTGCTACTAGTTGCTCTAGTGACATAGACCTGCTACATCCCTGGAACTGGGGTGGTGAGCATGGCTTGCAGAGGTGGTGAACATGCCTCTGCCATGTTGGACTGAGTGGAGCAAACAGGCAGGGCCACAGAGTTGGTCCTAGCCGCACCTGCTTAGCATTAAAAAACAAAGTGCTCCTGATCAGAAAATGATTACAGATACATAATAAAGACAAATTCAGATTTAAAAGATCTCTGAATGGGTCACAGTGTTGGATAAATGTATGTAGGCTTGGGATAAAGAGTAAAAAGAGCATTGACAGTTAAAAAATAAAACAAAATCTTTAAAGAGACAGTAAAAGTAATATAAAAGAGTACAGATGGTCATAGGTTAGAGGAGTAAAGAAAAATAAGCCGTGTAAAGATGGAATATACAGAGTCTGGATTATGTATATTATTATGTTTTCTTTAATTTTTTAACATTTGATTCTAGGGGCTGCTAAGCTAAGCCTATATATATATATATATATATATATATATATATATATATATATATATTAAAGGTATTTGGTTTCAAAATTTGGGTTAAGGATATGTTGCTTTGGACAAGAAGTTCTGCTTTTGTTTCAACAGAAGATGAGAACCTGTGGATTTCTTCCAGGCTAATGTGGTTTGATGGAGCAAGGCTTCCCAAAAGATCTCCATAAACCCTAAAAATACTTCACCCAACAAACAGCATGATGAAGTTTTGAAAAAACTGTGTCTAAATTCCCAAAATGATTGTTTATAAATGTTTGTTTTCATTTAAAGGGGTTGATTGTAAGTGATTAATGGTCACAGTCAATTTCTAAAAAAAAAAAAAGGGAGATATGATATAGAGGTGAACGCTACTTTGCATTGGTATGGATCTTAGTCTATTGATATAAATTTAGGTCAATTTTGTATACATATATTTCTGTTATTGTTTAAGGTATTATGTTTAGGCAGTTCATTTAAAAATGTAATGTATAATGAAAAATTGCAGATTAATGGGTAATCATTTATAATAGTCAAACTTGTCATGATAATTAGGTTTTCTAGATATACAGAGATATATTTCAGATGGATAGATATTCTTCAAATCTTTCAAAGACCTGCAGAACATGACATTTAAAAGGTTTTAAGAACTTAGACTTTTCTCAACCATGAGACATGTCTGCTCATGTCAATACCAGTCTACTTTAAGAGTTTGATTGGCATTGATGAGGCTTCTTATGGAGTTTGTTAGCCATTTGGGTAAGAAACTGCTCTTGCCTAGACTGATTGATGGTATTCTGAATAAACTGGACATGCAGGACCCACAGAAAAATGATTGCTGAACTTGCCTAAAAAAGATGAGACAGTTCTTTAGGGTTTCTGCTTCATGAAAAAGTCTGCCAGACATTCTGCACAGGACACAGAAGAAAGCAACTGATAAATTTTGTCATTTCAAGATAGAACAGATTTTCAAATTTTCTGCTTCATGGAAAAGTTTGCTGGATACTATGGGCCTGTAGGCTGAAGATGGATGCCCCAATGTTACAGAAGAACTTTGGGTGACTGTCCAGGCAACGAGATGTCTCTGTCAATTCTAGAACTTTGGAAGTTGCTTCCTGTTTACTTCTTATTTACTTAGGTAATATTATATCCTTCTGGGATCTTTGAAGAGCTGAAGGCAGATAGTTATAGTTCTTCTTAGTTATGATAAAAGATAAATTAGATCTGAAACTTTAGACTCACAAAGAAATATTACAACTCTAATTCTTGCTTGATACCTGTTTTATATGTAAAACATATAAAACATATTACCTGTTATATGTAATTTTACTATGTTAAAGTTAAAACCTTCCTTTTTAATTAGACAGAAAAGGGGAGATAATATGAGAAGTCCTTTTGTATATATGTTGCTTTTATTGTCTAATGAATAAAGTTGTTTTGGTCAACAGCTTAGCAGAGTGAAAGCAGGCAAGAAATCTAAACAGAGATAGATAGATAGATAGAGAGAGAGAGAGAGAGAGAGAGAGAGAGAGAGAGAGAGAGAGAGAGAGAGGAGTCATGGAAATGCCACGTAGCTGCCAAAGGAAAAGGACATGCCAAAACCTTAGGAATCTTACTGGTAGGCTACAGCCTCATGATGATACACAGATTGATAGAAATGGGTTAATGTAAAATGTAAGACCTAGCTAGGAATACACTAGAGTCATTGGCCAAACAGTGTTGTAATTAATATAGTTTCTGTGTGATTATTCGGGTTTGAGTGGTCAGGAAATGAACGAGCAGACTCTGCCTACAGCTAACTAGTCTAACTGTGGTTTACTGACCCTTGTTCTAGACCAGTGGTTCTCAATCTTTCTAATGCTATGACCCTTTAATACAGTGCCTCGTGTATGACACTCAACCATAAAATTATTGTGTTGCTACCTCATAACTGTAATCTTGCTAGTTATGAATCTTAATGTTAATATTAATCTTAAGGAATATCCTGATATTCATTAAAGGGTTGAGACCCACAAGTTGAGAGCGGCTGTTCTAGACCCTCATCTTCTGATCATGCTCATGTTGACTCTTTTTATTTCAGTGACTTTTAGAATGAACTTAAGGACATTTGTTCTAATGACCTTGACAAGTTTTTCAAGACTAGCAACTCTTTTCACCTTTTGTCTCTCACCCCCAGGTTGTTACTCTTTAGTCTTTTTTAACTAAAAAAAAAAAACAAATAAAAAGGTCTTTAGCACATGTTGCTTCTGTGGTTTCTGCACACACAATCACTTTAGCCCATCAGGAAGTGATTTTCTAGGTGGCTAAATGAATGTTTCCTGGCATTGCCCGTGTTACAGTAAACTTGGAGCATACTAACAATTTGTACAGCACAGAGTTGTGGTGGGAGGTGAGTGGAAGAGGGTTGGACAGAGATAATTGTCATGGCCAGAGGCAACTGAATGGTATAGAAAGTTTGTATACTCCAGGAGGTTTAGCAAATCTACTTGGAACATTCCATAATAAATATGTATAATGAATACTAGAGTCAGTCTCATACTTAAAACCTAACTTTAAAAATATAATGTTTATTCTTTGACAATTCACACATATGTAGAGTGTATAGTGATCATATAAACACACAATTCCTCCCTCACCAGACCCCCCCCCCAGCATTTACCCCTCCTTTCATCATGTCATTAATAAGTCCAGAATGCATGAGAATGTGCAATCTACCTATGACTATACACCAGAAAAAATGACTGCCTCTTACCCTGTAGCCACCAGTGTCCATATCTCCTGAGGAGTGGACTCTCATGAGCCCTACTCCATCCATGGTGGGATGAACCTTACCCCATGCATGTGGGATGAGCCTTACCCCATCCATGGTGAAATGAGCCTTATTCAACCCATGATGGGATGAGCCTTACCCAGCCCATGGTGGGGTTATTGACTGGCTTAGTCTTGTGCAGGTAACCATAGAAACTGAGTTCATGAGTACAGCAGCCACATCATGACCAAAAGACAACATTTCACAGCACTCCTTTTCATCTTCTGGCTCTTGTATTCTCTTTACTTCTCCCGAGTCTTGCAGGAGGGGTAGGGCTTGATATAAGTGTCCCATCCAGGGATAAGCATTCAATAAATAATAAACATTTATACTCAGCACTTTGATCCCTTGTGAGTCTCTGCAATGGTAGTTATGCACTGTAAAAAGAAACTCCATAGCCAAGTTTGAGAACAGCACTAACTAGGAGGGTCTAAGCACAGGTGTTGAGAAGACAGTTGATAACATGTCCACAAAACCTAATTTGATTCATACTAATGATATGATTTTGGGCAAGAATTTTAACCTGTTTTGTTTTAATTTTCTCATTTGTAGAATTAAAATACTAAAAATGCATATGTTACAATTTCATTAAAAATATGTATGTAATATTAAAAAGTGGTGTACTGAACTAAACCGAGAATTCTCAACAGAAGAATTTCAATGGCCAAAAGATACTTAAGGACATGTTCAACTTCCTTAGCCATCAGGGAAATGCAAATCAAAACAACTTTGAGATACCATCTTACACCTGTCAGAATGGCTAAGATCAAAAACACTAATGATAGTTTATGCTGGAGAGGTTGTGGAGCAAGAGGAATACTCATCCACTGCTGGTGGGAATGCAAACTTGTACAACCACTTTGGAAATCAGTGTGGTGGTTTCTCAGAAAACTGGGAATCAGCCTACTTCAGGATCTCGCAATT